AAAATTCAATTCAATCAAAAGAAGAAGATCTTGGGTGAGAGTGCTGCATTTCCTGTTTGAAAATCAAAGCAAGGTAGCGCTGGAAAGGCAGCGACTATATAAAAAAGGAAATCGATGCTTTTGCGGTTTCCTGTTTTTAAAATTTCGGTTAAATATCTGTAACTGTTCCCTCTAAACAAACTCCTTTTTATATGTGTAATGTACAATCTCTAATTAGCTTCCTTTCATTAGGTTTGATAGCAGCATTAAGTCCAGATTGGATATTAGTTCTCAATTCTGGCGCCAAGTAATTGGTTAAATTTATTATCATTTTGTTTTTAAAATTAACTAAATAACACATGATAAATACAACTAGAAGAAACTTATTACTGATACAATAAAGAACGTATTGTGTATCACTGCATCCAGAACTGTAGCAAATAAATAACTTACTTATTCCTCTTGAAACAACTAAGAATGGTTAAGAAATGAAAATAAACAGCTGCGCCATGAGCGCATGATACGCCGGTCGCATTTTTTACGAATAAAGTTCAATAACTTCTCAATGTCATATCAGAAATTTGTGAAAAACTAAAGGGAGGTTATCTTAATTGATATAAACCAATCACCAAAGTTTAATGAAAACTGCTCAAAGCACTTTAAAGGTATTGTACGAAAACTAGAAAATCACCCCTTTTCTATGAATAAAATCCCACAACTCGGAAAGGTAAAATCCAAAATTTACAAAAATTGAAAGGGAGCTTACATCAATAGATATACACAATTCTCCAAAGTTTCATAAGAACTACTGAAAGCATTTTTGAGTTATTGTACGAAAACTTGAAAATCCCCCTTTTTTAATGAATCACTCAGAAACGTAAAATCTAAATTTTATAAAAAACAAAAGGGAGCTCACATCAATAGATATGAACAATTCTTTAAAGTTCTATGGAAATTGGTTGAAGTGTTTTTTGAGTAAATGTCTGACATGTTGAAGACGGACGGACAGACGGACAACAGTCTACCATAATACGTCCCATAAACAGGCATATAAAAACTTGTTCATTTGGATTTCCATGTAATCAAGGATCTGCATTATTATATCAATACACTCAAAATGATGCTACACAAATAATTTGATTTTTTTTAATCTGTAAATACCACCATTTTTCAAACAAAAAAGATTGCAGTACCCTTGCTCTAGGGACCATAGCATATACATTTAAATCAAATAGGAATTTAATAAGCTCTCCAAATGGCCAAGTATTGAATAATGACGAAAACTAGATGCAATAATGCAGTGGTATAGAGCTTAGAAGCACTACTTTCCTAAGTCATGCTGTGACCTTGAATGTTAATTACTAGTAATGTTGTGATGTGGAGCTTTCACAACTGACCTTGAAAATGAATATGGATTATGCACTCTTTGTACTCCAGCAGCAGGCCATGTTTGATGTATATTGGATGTAAGAAAGAACCTCTATGGTGCCAACATAATGAATTTGGCAGGTTTTTTGCGTGCCTTACTTTTATTACATATGGTCTAGATAGGGCAAAGGGGAGTTTTGTGCATATAAAACTTGTTTACCCCCCACATTTTTGGCCCATATCAAGGCAGGCTTTCTGGACCATGTGTTGTTCATCATTGTTTGTTCGTCTATTTTTTTCAGGTTAGTTTGGTCTGTTGTACTGATTTATATATTTCTCTAATATCCTGTCATCATTTTTCACTATCACATAAAAAAACAGACATCCCAACTGCTTCCAAATATTTTCATTCAATGTTATAATACAAATCTAATATTATATTTGAAAGAATCAGCAGTTAATGCAAGTGATAAACTATTTTCCAGTTTTTATCAGATTTACCGAAAAATTCATTTTTTATTACAATATATGTAATTCGGTCCTTTTTCATTTATTTCTTGGGACATAAATTTACTAATGCAAGTCTGAATTTACTTTGCAAAAACTAATTAAAAGTATTTCACTTCGACACTTGATACTGGCTTTAACAAGTGGAAAAGGTCAACATGGTCAATACTGGACAAGAAATTGATTATGTTGTTTTTTAATGATCAACTTTCAGGATTTTTATTTGCACTTTTATAAGTCTTAATCAAATTTCTGGGTATTGTTTCAAATTAACAAGTCATTTTCAAAACAAAAATTGAAACTATTATGAATAATGGACCAAAAACCTGCTGAAAACCCTGTTCAAACATTATTTATCAATAAAGGTATGTTGAATTTTCATTAGAAAGTCATTTACAAAGAACCAAAGCCATAATACTGAACTGATATCAACATTCTAACATTGACATATAATCTTTATTAATTTTTAAGTACTGGGACCTGCACTGGTTATGGATATTGAATTATGTTTGTAGCATGTAGTTTTCAATCCATCTTAAAAAGCACATTAGTTACAAAATAACAGGATTTTCTGCACAGTTTATTTTCTAATCAATTTTCAAAGCTAACAAGGATTAATTCAAATCTGATTAAGAAACAATACTTAAAATAATTTCTATTGAGACCACATAAACAATGAAAAATGTTAAATAAATAAATGCAGTAATCCTGTAATCTGATTTAATTATAACTAAGTGGAGAAATCACTGATATTTTTAACTAATCCCAAATATTGTAAAAGGTAGCTTTAAAGTATTAACATTGCCAAAGTTTACCAACATCCAAAATTTACCATTTTTCAATCTGTAAAACTTACATCAGTACATGCACAAAATGTGTGGGGCTTAACACCCCTACCCCCGCCATTGTCAAAATAGACCATAGGTCACCTCTATTTAGCAAAAACCTGTGTCTTGTCAGGTCACCCTCTTCTTGTCCCACTGTAGATATATCCTTACATTTTGAACCTTAATTCTAAGGTCCCCTCTCTTACCCCAAGGGTGAACTTCAACTACAGGTTTGATAGTACTTCAATTTTGTAAAATTGAGAGAGTACCTTGTACTGTAAATATATGAGTCACTGGTCATAAGGTATTAATAATGGATTGTGTGTGTGGTTTTTTTTTGTTTGTTTGTTTGTTTGTTTTTTTTTTTTTGGGGGGGGGGGGGGGGGGGGGGGGGGGGAGGGGGGGGGGATTTCTATGTAAAGAGTGATAGGGATGAGCTGCTGGAATTGGTCACTATTTCAAGCTTCATAATATATGATAAGGTAGCTGATTATATCATAAGGCCAAAATAAAATATATGTCTGTTTAACATGTTTAAGGTTTACATACTTTAAAAAAATAGGGTAGGTAGGTTGGTATTTCCATTTTATTTTATTTTTTATTTTATTTTTGTGACATGATTTTGAGTCATGCGGTTTCATCTTGTTGTGGTCCAAGTTGATCATGGGCCGAGTTTACCCGTATTTTTAATGATTAGATTATTTCCCTTGGTTATAGGTTGGGGAAAAAATGGCAGCAAAGTGTTTATTTCATTACACGAGTCGCGAATTTCCCTAAAACAGCTATCATATTCACGATTGTGAATATTGGGATGTATCAGGCAATTGATTTATATTATTGGCAACACTAACTTCACTTTTGACACAAGTTCAGTTTATTTTTCACTTTACGACGGAAATAAAATGACTTAGGGTCGGCGCTCAAAAGTAGGGTAACCGTAAACAGACATATATTTTTTTTTGGCCTAAGTATCTGAAAATGCTGAATCATGGATAGTATTTAAAAGATGTGATTAAAACCACAGACATAAATGCATCAAATGCATCTCTTCTCTAATTGAAATAGCGTAATTTAGGCTTGATATACAGATATAACTATATATACTTTGTATGTTGAAAAAACTCAGTACCAGGTATGAATAAATAATGGGGATAAAGAAGTTATTAATTCAAACTTTAAAAATTAAATCTGGTATGCTTTACCTATTTAAACAATTTGTCTATATACAATGAAACATGAAAATCAATTTTCAGTAAAGAAAAAACCAAAACTAACAAAAAACAAAAATAAAAATTTCAAAATTTCAAAATTTCAAATTACCTTAAGTATTATCAATTTAACATTGACAAAAAATACAAAATCTATGTACTTTTGGCTTAAAAACGAATCCAGAAGGGATACTTAATATTGGTTTTATTTACAATTTGTTTACACAATGTGTAGGCATTAACTAGGCAATAACAATTATAAGTTTATTTTTAATATGATCATACCATCACAAAACTGAGGAATCGATAGAGTAAGCCTGACATTAATTAAACACGACTGATAAATGGGTCAATTCATTTTTTATCTATATTACTCTAGGGATAGTTAAATAATGTATTGATTTGACCCCTCAATGACTACAGAATTGATTTGATTCATAAAAACTACAATAGAGAACAGAATCAGATATTTAAATAAAATTGAGAATGGAATGGGGAATGTGTCAAAGAGACAACAACCCGACCATAGAACAGACAACAGCAGAAGGTCACCAACAGGTCTTCAATGCAGCGAGAAATTCCCGCACCCGGAGGCGTCCTTCAGCTGGCCCCTAAACAAATATATACTAGTTCAGTGATAATGAACGCCATACTAAATAGTCCTCATACTGCTTTTACACAAGTACTTTTTATGTATTTTGAGAAAGACCCTTACATTTTTCTGTAAATTCAAAAAAATATTGTAAACAGTATTTCATGAGATAACAGGAATGATTTTGTTCATGTATGGTACCAGCTGATTGTAAAGTTTCTTTGTCATGAATAACATCGGCTGTCAACAGATTTTAATACATGTATCCTGAATTCTGGGTTTTACTACCATTGACATCAATTTAGCGCTGGTTGACCAAAGGATGTTTGCAAATGATGTAAATCTGGAGAAAAATAAGAGAATTTTGTATTTAATTTCTTCAATGAAAGGTACACTACGAATGGTTTTGCGCAAACAAGCTGCTGATGATAGTTTTCCTTATGTTGTAGGCTTATTTTTTAACTTTAAAAAGGAAACATTAAAAAACTCTACCTTGACAGTTTTGATAGGTTTACTTACCAAACTATTTAATTCAAGCATTTCTTTGAATATCTTTTGCCGCCCTAATTTACTGGCAAGTGTCAAAGGAGTAAGATTGGCTTTGTTTCTGATGTCTGTTTTGGCAGGTTTTTTGTGGTGTTTTACAAGGTATTTGTACATTTCCTGAAATAAAAAAAATAATAAAAATTGTGCCTTATTTTATAGAAACTTATGCATCTACACATTTTTCATATCATGTAAAGAATTCTCATTTGTTGTACTGTATAAAGAGGATTTTCTACTTCAGTCCAATATATTATTCATTTCAATTTTTTTTTATTTCAATGTAATCCAATGTAAGCATAACAGTTTTAAGTTACTAATTGTTGGGTGATGGTGGGTGATGTAATTTCTTGTGCCATCGGATATTTTTCAGTGATTTCTATAATCCCTTTCATTATTATTTATTGAAAGCAGAACGTTTTGTATAAAGTGTATCTTTCTTATATTCCCTCTTTCTAAAGCTACCTGGAAATGTCACTGATATATGTCTGAGACTATGACAACAAGTATTTGATAACATTGACAAGCTATTCAATTTGTAACAGATGCTGAAATACCTTTTGATTCTATACTTGAACACTTCCTGACTGTACCCTTATGGAGCACCCGAGATCACCCTTAATTTTTGACGCGGTTCATGATGCTTGTTTATTACTTTTCTATGTAGTGTATTGTAGTGTATTGTAGAGTGTCGTTTGTCTTGTCGTCAGTTTTCGTTTTTTGCCATGGTGTTGTTGTTTATTCTTTGACGAATCATTTTTTTGATTGTCCCTTTTATTAGATGTTCTCGCTCTTCTTTTTGACAAACACTTACTGTTATTTCACCCCGTCATAATTGAATAGTCACTTACAACTTGATCGTGAATTACAGCCATATGAAGGCACGTGTTTCCAAAAGAGTCTTGAAGATTAGGATCGGCTCCATTATTAATGAGGTAGTCATAGATTTCTTGATTTCCAGTACATGTAGCAAAAGACAAAGGATATTCTCCATAGTAGGCATAACCTGGAAATATCAACATTGGTTAATGATATAATCTTTTTTAAAAACCAATATGGTAATTGGTATTTTCATAAAGCTGTTTCAACTGCAATTACCAAATTAAAGCAAAATTTATATAACAGAAACTAGTTGCTTACCCAAATATTAACATGAAAAGAATCTTTTCATAAATCATCTTGCACAATGTAATAGGTTCTAAACCAATGTCTGTGTATATCAGCTATGCATCACCGTGAATGAAGAAGAGATTAGGTCTGCATTTCAACAAGTCTCATAACAATTGAACTCAAATTTCATATAACAAAAACTTTTTTTTTTACATTTCAAAATTGATTTTTAAAATATGGACCATTTTTCACACTTTGGAGAAGGAATTCATATTTAAAATCTTTTTGCAAAACTGAAATAAATAATATAAATATATTTCTCTTTTCATGCTTATCATTTTTTTAATACTGATAAGAACTACTACTAGATGTTCATTTTCTTTAAAGATCTTGAGCTTTATTTGTTTGGTTTTTTCCAAATTTATATTCAGCATAGCTTAAAGTATAAGGTATCATTAACGTACCCTACCTATAATTAAAAAAAAAAAAAAAATAAAGTCCGATAATATAATAAATCTGTCTAAATAAAAACATTCTTATAACATATGGTCTAGATAGATAAAGGGGAGGTTTGTTGGCTTGACAAACTGGTTTAACCCCAACACATTTTGTGCATGTACCAAGTCATATTATCTTGACCATGTGTTGTACAGTTTTGTTTATTTTTGTTTTTACATGTATGTCTATTTTTTCAGAGGAGTCAAGAGTTGGCAGCTAGTGTGGTCAGTTAATCTGTTAATTCCTGTCTTTCTTTTTATTTATCATTAAAAAACAAACCACTACATGTAATACAATGAGCTCTTGCATAAGGACAAAGAAATGAAAATAAAGATGTATTTTTGTGTTGGGTTGTTGTGTCATTCATGAATACCCTACATGTTATTTTATTCCTATTCTAAGTGATTTAACAACGAAGTGTATATATAAAACTTCCACCTCATCCAAACAAAATTTTAGCCCACAGAGATCGGTTTTGACAGTTTTCGTCATTAAAAGACACAAAATAGATTATGTAAATATACTTATGAAAATTGGAAAGAGTTAAATACCACATAACCTGTACTTTTATACCGGACCTCAGTCTATAGTTTTCGAACAGAAGGTATTTATTTTTCATTTCAGACCAAATAATTAGCTGAAAGGGAGCATTTCAGCTTGAACAACTGTATAATATATATAAATACTGCTAAGTCACATCCTTCCTTTTCTGTGAACACAAAAAAAATATGGATGAATGGAGAAGAAAAAGACAATCTTGATCCCTGGACCCAGTGTTCAAAACTCCATGAACAGATTCTGATCTTTTGACAAAAATGTTTATATAAAATCATGAAATTTTTCATTTCATTATTATATATAATACCATAGGAAGGAATGTGTTAAATAACCATTAAAAATCTTTTATAAAAGCCTTCTCTAATAGGAGTAGAACACATTCAATTTTAATGACTTAGTGCAAAAAAGGTTTAACATTATTCCGTGATACTCATATAAATGTGTTTTACATAAACTTCCAAAACATCAAACAAAAATTTCTTCTTGAATACAAAATCAATTATTCTAAACTTTAAAGTTAGCTTTGTTCGTGTTAAGATATAATTATCTCCAGTTCTTTGACAATACTTTTTCACATTTCTAAAGATACTAATCGTAATTTTGATTTTATTTTTTATGTAATTACAAAATATACAGGAGATGTTTAGTGACCAACAGTATAGGGTTATACAATCAAGAGGGCAGTAAACTTGAATAGAATTTGGAAATGATTTATTTTTTCCCAAACTGAAATATCTTAATAGACAATTAATTACTTTTATCCCTGATGACACACTATTTTACAAATGTCAAAAGATTTAGTTGCTCAATGTGAGGGTTCCTTCTAAAAAATGATTTTGTTCTTTTACTGTTTTATCTTTGCATGAAGTATAAGTTAGTCTTCATGCTTAACCACAGGCCTAACAGCCCAGGCCTGTAAAATTGTTTTCGGGCCTGTAAAATTCATCTCTACAGGCCAATAGAATCTAACTAAAATTTTCCAAAAATTGAGCCCCAGTCCTGTAGATTTAAAAGTTTGTCTTGAAGACTGCAGTATTGAATAAAAGTAGAATAAAACCATATGAGTAAGTAACTGATAACTCATTCATAATACTTTAGAGAAAACATAAGAGACAGTGATCTCATAAAACATAAAAGTAACTGGAATTTCAAAATAGGATCTTTTTTTCAAGAAATTATAGCATCACATCCATTACAAAATCTAAAGAAAATCATTTCAAATAGCATCACATTGCCATGATGCTAAAAGCCATAGGAGATAACACGGGAGAACTGTTATTTAATTACTTTGTCTTGCCTTCTATTAGATTACAGAGTATACAGGCAAAACACATAAATAAAGAGTCCAGTAATTCTTATTTGCTACTACTGAAAAACGTTAAATATAAAAATACATAACAATACTGTACTGTTTAAAAACTGTGGCTTTCCGAGAAGAACAGAGCAATACAAGCATTATTTCTCTGCTTTGGGTTTTGTAAAGTTCATGTTGGGATTTTGTGTCATGAATTTTAAATACCTTATCTCATAGTTTATTTTCTATGTTAAGAATATCTTGTGAAAATGTTTTTTTTTTTAGATCTATTATGCAATTTCTATTGATGCTAGAAATAAGATTTATATGTTGTAACTTTGTCACATGATATGATATTGTTTTATCTGTGAAAATATTGAACCACTGAAACTAATTGGATAATTCACTTGACAACAAAAGTCACTGATATTCTCCAGAGTCAAAAAGCAACCTTTTTTAAAAGAAATCCTGATCAATTAATTGCATCAGTTCACCTATCAATATTCCAAACATTAACAGAAAACAATCCCCTAGACAGATTGTGGATAATGTTTGATATTATGCAATATGTTATTGTTGATATAAACAATTCTCATATCACTTTTAGTATTGGTTTCTGTGTGAAGTAAAAGATACACGTATTAGCAGAAAAAGTCAATGAGACCTAACAAAACAATACCATTTAACCAAAAATAGATATCTAGGTCACCATACTGGAAATTCCCCATACTAAATCGCAAACTTTAAATCATCACAAGCCTTACCATGTTGTGATATATTTAATAGAGAGGACATTGAATCCTGTGATCTATTGCACACTTACAATATCCCCTCTATCCTAAAAAAAAGGAAGTTACAAGTGACAGATGTGAAAAGGTATCACACAATACCAAATGCTCATACGGAGCTTGATACCAAATTTCAGGAAGATCTGATTTATAGTTTGGAAAATCCAATAAAATATTTCATACATTATGTGTAAGAATATATTACTCAGGAAACAGGAACTTGATGAAGGAATTGATGTGAAAGCGCATCACATGGTCAAGAATGCTCACATGAAGCTTGATATAAAATTTAAGGAAGATCTGACTAGCAATTCCTGAAAAAAAATGTTACCAAAATTTCATGGGATGGACAGACACTTAGGAATAACAATAAGAGACAGAAAAAACAACTGACAAGATTGATAACACAGGTCAGGCAAAATAATCATATAAAAACATGTTTATTAGATATGAAAGTACTCAAATTTTCCCCATCTTGATCAGACAGTTGAGAAAAAAACTAAAAACAAAAAAAGAAAACTAAGAAAAACCTCTTAACTTATTTGCATTACAGAATACACAAAACACTAACGAAAGGAAGATATTACTGCCTTATAAGAAAGTCAACAGTTTGGTATTTTTCCAAAACCAATTATTTCTATTCAGTCAAGACATTTTGACTTAACTCGGCCAAATTCTCAACTTAATGGTCTTTAAAAAAATTAATTCAAAATTAAAATTTCAATGACATCATTCATATGTTCAGATTAATTTAGATTGCCAAAATTTGCATTTAATAGATAAAAAAAAACCTTTCATTTCTGAGTTGTGGAAGAAAAATGAGCTCCATGGTTAATGCCTCTGATAATGTCTGCATTGATTTGTATTGAAAACTCAGGAAATTTAAACTTAATCAAATCACTGTTATGTTGTGGATGTTAACAGGACAATCTTTACGTCAATCGAAGCTCAGAATAGTCACGTATATTGCATTCGAAGGCTTTTCTGTATTTGTATAGAAGAAAAAATATTGTTCGATTTCTCTTCAGAATTAAATCTCATTGCTCAATTAAAAGACAAATTTCATAACTGAATGTAATTATTATCCAATGTAAAATGGTTAATCCATGAAATGATCTTTTTTATATTGAAATCAAGGTGTTTAAATCCAACAAAATGATTTCTATTATTGGTACATATGACCTTAATGAGAACTATGAGAAGTCGATTTCAAGCCCAGACATTATAATCCAAAGATTCTATTCAGTAATTCTTGATCCATATGTTTCAATGTTTAAGTTAATGAAAACAATTTAAACCAAGTGTATACTCACTTTTTACCAACTTGCAATACCTTATACAATTCTCCAATGTTTTGAAGTGCTCATAAAAATTAAAAAAAAAAAAATAACAAAAACCAGAATTTAGTGTCTGACAAATCCCAAAACCACTCATCACTATCAAGCAGCTTACTAAAAATAGTAATACTGTTTAGAAACACAGAGAAATGTGTTCTGAAAATATTAAGTTCATTTTACATACTTCTGTTGTAAATAGAGAAACTCTAAATATGGTAAAAAAAAATGTCATTAAAGGGTCATAATTCCTGTAAGGAGACATCTGATAGTTTTGATAATAATAGAAGAAAGGTAGAGCTTGACATTCAAAACATTCTTGACCCTTTGAACAATGATAAAGAAAACTATAAGTATCAGGAATGAGTTTTACAAAAAATATTACGACTAAAATTGATCATAAGTAAACTGAATTGTGTAAGAC